GGGTAAGATGTACCTCAGTCTTTCTGCTGGGATGATGCATCTCTATCAGCTCGGGTTGGCCTTGGCAAATAGGGTCGCAGCCCTCCTCCTAATTGATCCAAACAGTGTCATTCTGAGGTATTCATCGTTGAAGGCTAAACTAACAGTGTGGTTGGTGCTTTATGAGGTGGAGAGTGGGGGTATCAAACAACAGATTAAAAGGCCCGTAATTTACCCTTTATTTTTTCCCCTTCTTTCTTTCTTTCTTTTGTTTTCATTTCTAACGCCCCCATCAGCACAATTTAGATAATTTAGGCGACAGATTATAATAATAATAATGAAGATCATTTCTATAGCGCCCACTCCCGTGTAAACACAGCTCTAGGCGCTTTACATAAATGCATTATGACCCTGCCTGTTTCGACCAACCGCGAATGAGGGGATAGAGCATCACAGCAGAAAGACCGAGACACTCGATAACAACCCCCCCCTCCCCTTGGGAATCAAACTGGGGCCTCCTGCATGAAACTACCTGTACGTAAATGTACATTACTTATTACTCCCTCTCGTCAACATAATTTTGAGTATTGAAGAGACGAGTTCCGTGGGACAAAATGAACGTACCAGCAAAATAAGAGAAAAAAGTCATAATTTCTAATACAAATTAATACACGGAAAGAATTAGTATTAGGAGTGATCAACACGTATTCAATGACTAATGAAGTGAATTTTGAACAGAACAAACTTTCACCAGAGTGAGCGAACAAAGACAACATGGCTTTTTGTCGGTAACAGTGGAAGGTGATCCGTCTCACAAATACTCTTGGCTAATGGCCCACTCAATATTACACGCTACTTAGCAATAACATGATCATGCGACTTAGAAATGAAATCATGTAATAAATGCAAAAGAGGCCTACTTACATGCTATTTAGTAGCCGAAGTGATAGTCATCATTCTATAAATGCAAAAGGGGCCAACTTACATGATATCCAGCAGAATTTTAAAAAAAGTCGCATGTAGTCTGCTTTGTCGACTTGTCACCGAGCGTGGGGGACAAGTGATAATGCAAGTACCTTGCAAGAAGTACATGTATATTAAGGAAGAGGCAAGGGAGACCAGAATCCTACTATCTGGGCAGACCAGGATCCTGGTGTGTTTAAATAGTTTGTTTAGAGAGACCAGAATCCTAGTTGGACTGTATAGCATTATTTATTTAAACCATTTTCAAAGGTTCCCGCCTCAAAATTTCTTAAATGTTCTTTTTGTTCCATTTATTTTAGCACAGAGATATGTTGGTCTAAAGTATCTAGATCTCAGAATTTGTGCAGGAGTGTAGAAAAAAGCATCTTTTGGAAACAAATGAGCTACAGGGCCAATACATGTATAGATGTTTTAACCTATCAAACCCTCAACTAATGAAAACAGTCTTTCTATGATGGTTTTGCTTTATCGTTTAAATATAGCCTCAGGTACCGCTAGGCAACCTACACAACTGTTGAGACATTTTTTGAGCATCAAGTGCGCCAGTGAAGAATCAAATCTTTTTGTTTTGGCGTTTTTTACCCTACTGGACACAAATTAGACCATATCAGAAAAAGCAAGTCTAAATTCACCTCTGGCAGGGTTTGATTCTAGGAGCATTGTCTAAGAATTTTTAAAATGAACCAAAGCATCAGTGGCCAGGTAGTCTTGCTATATTTTTTCACTAAGGCCTGTACTGTAATATAACAACCATTATATTTCCCATTTTTAAGCCAACAGTTTTGTCATTAAAATAAAACTGATCATTACAGTAAGTCTGCCGTGTACTGTTTTAGTTTTAGCATTAAAAGAAAAAGATCACAAGACAGAATAAACGGTTTGTTTGGATGCGAATGAATCAGGAACCTGTGTGAACCGGTGAATTGCGCTTGGACTCCATAGCCTTGTTGTCTAGGGAGACCAGAATCCTGGTCTCTGAAGATACTTCCTTATATCAATAAGACTGCCTTAGAGTACAGCACACTTACAGGACAACATTTTAAACTAAAGACAAACGGAAACAACTTTTGCCACAGGCTGTAAATATGACACGAAAGATTCATGTTCAACTGTTGACACACTCGATTACGCAGGTCGTTGCTATGGAAACGGTGGCCATGTTGAAAATCGGATAGAAAATAAATAATATGTATTTTTTAATTCTCTACCATTTCTACAATTTTTTACTTTTTAAAATTCTGTAATTTGCAGAATGTTACAAATGAATAGGTGCTTGCAACTGACTATTTCTATTTTTGATGCTATACTTATAAAGTATTTACAATCGTTCTCAACGTTGGGGATAAGGAATTTGATCTTTTAAAAATATTTTTGGCATGAAAATGTTTTTAAAAAAAAACAAATTCTAAAGCAAAACGCAAAAGACACCATAACGAGGTCACTACAAGTACAAACATTTCTCAAACTACACGCCAAATTTCAAGTCTCTATGTTGGTAAAAAGTGTGAAATAAAAACGGGTTATGCAAGCAAAAAGTGGTGAAAAAGTGTGTTTTAGAAAAAAACCCAAGGTTAACCATCTAAAGCACACAACGTAGAGCCCAATAGAAATGAATTCTGTTAATGCTAAACACTCTGCGACTAGTGTCAATATAATCTAGATTGAATGAGGATCGGAAAAATCCAACGAATAAAATGCTCAAAGTGAGTGAAAATAAGTTCCCGAGGCCCTAGCTAGACCCGACCCGCGAGCCCCCTTAAGGGAGACTCTTGTCGGTCGACCCGAAGCCGTTATATGCAAAGGATCATCTTACAAAACTGAGAAGTCTTATAACCCTAGCCCCCCCCCCCCGGCCCCCATGGCGCTTTATTTCCCATGACTCTAATTGGCTGTAATGACTTGACACTTAGCGTACATATAGTAACGTGCATAACAACACACCCGTACCAACAACACCAGTGCTTGAACGTGTCTGAGTGTTGAAACCTCGGTGTTCCTCGACCCACTTTGCTTTGTACGCATTTCTGACCCTTGCAATAGTTTATAAGTGCCTGTAGTACGATGGATACAATAGGTCTAGTAATTTGAGATGTTGCTGAAAGCACAAGCAACACGCAGTAGCATTTAAAGACCGTCTGAGATGTCAAAATACGAGGTAGTTTCGAGTACATGTACCTCAACTTTACAGCAATAAAACCCCGATCTGCACCCTTCGTCCCAACCCTCGCATCAAATGAGCCAATACGAGCACGATTCCGAGGTAGCTCCTGAGAGCTGCCGAGGGGACAGCCATGTTTCTTTGTTGGTAACTGCTCGTTTACCTGTTTGGCCAGTTATTTAATAGAAAGGACCACTTGGTCCGTTCCACTAATTATGCAACCCTACTCTTCCCACCCACGACGCCTTTAAGCCGGCCATCCAGGTATAGGCCGGACCTTGAGGTCTTTCCTCACATGGCCATCCACGACTCAGGCTTTCTGTGTTCATTTAGGATGGCGCCACCGTGGGATATGGATGTTGTTGTGGCAAGCTTAGCCACGTTCAGGCCAGGTTCAGGCCATGTTCTGGCCTTCTCTGGCTTGTGAAGGCCTCGTTCATGCCCAGCCTCAAGGCCCGGTCTGTACGTGGATAGCTCGCTTAAGGTCATATAAATGCACGGAACACAGAAAGCATTGTCGGCTTGGTTGGAACTAGTTTTGAATTTTTCCCAGGTATCGGCCGCAGCCTACTCCTATCGATTTTGAGACCACCAAAGGATATTAATATAACGTGCGCAACTTGCAAACAGAACATCCGAGATGTTTTCTCCCTGATCTGAGAAGGCTAGGTGTTAGATCTTACCAACCATAAGATATGGGGTGTGACTGGAAGACAGCACTGGGAACCAAGGACTAGCACTACATTTTTAGCAGTAGAAAGACAGCAGAAACAGTAAGTAGCCCAGAGGCGTGGGCAAAGGGGGCGGGAGGATGTGGCGGGGAGAGGGGGCAGAAAGTGGAGATGAAAGCAGACGACACAACATGTTTAAAGAGCAGGAAAGGAGGTGAAAGGAGAACATTTCAGAGAATGACATTTTCCGTCGTTATCAGGTTTCGAACCCGGGACCTATTGAATGAGAGGCGAACAACCTAGACCACGCGAGTCCCGCGTTCTATTTCAGCAAATTGGTGGGCGGGAAGGGGTTACTCGATTATAGCGACACTTTGTTTTGCTGTGCTCCCAACATTTTGCTACTTTATAATTTGCTATTAAAAAAAGATTTTATCTTTGTCTTTTTTGTTCCTATTTGAATCTCAAAAAGAGGTACACGCACCTTGCAGTTAAGTTTTTATTATTTTAGAATTGAAAATCCATTAAAAAAAAATTCATTGAGTTTAGAAAGAAATGTGATGACGTACTATGTGATTCGTATCAGGATGTCTTACTTTAAAATGTGAAGGCACAAAGCAGCATCAATGATTATTGCTTTACGTAATAATATGATGAATAATCCTTTAAAACAAACAACAACCAAAACAAAAATAAAACAGCACCCCCCAAAAAAACAAAAAACAACAACAACAACTAAGAACCACCCCTCCCTCAAACCATGCACACACGCACGCACACACACACACACACACACACACACACACACACACACACACACACACACACACACATGCACACGCATACAGACACACACACGCACACATACACACACAGGCACACTTACAGACACACTCACATACACACACACACACACACACACACACAAACAACACAAACAAACATTATGTCGAAACCATTTTATTTCACTATTTTTCCTTAGAGAACAATTAATTAAGACTATTTTATTTAACTTACCACCATTTGCCATGGTGAACCATTAAGAGCCTCGGTTTTTTTTAACGTTCTCTTAATCCCAATTAAATCTAACCAACAACAGCGTGGGCAGGAGTTGAGATCTGGAAGTTCTTGAAGTAAGTGTAACAGTCGTTGGGCGCCGCGTAATCGTGGGAACTGCCTCCGAAGAAGGTGGAGAAGAACATGCCTCTGAGGTGATGGCTGTTGGTATTGCGCATGCGCAAGTTGTTGGCTTTGTAGCACTGCTGGGAATGACCCTCGGCCTTGACACAGATTTGGACCCAGCCGTCGGTTTTTCCCACGGTGTTGAGGTGAACCTCCTCCGAGATCGAGTGCCATTTGTTATTCTGGGAAAAAAAATTTGTTGAATGCTGAAACAACAGCTTAAGAATGATGAGGCCAACTACCGTGTGTGTAGACCTACCGTTTTGGGTTGTTTTTTTTGGGGTTTTTTTGGTTGGTGAGCTACATCAATTCGTGATTTTCGCTATTTTTAAAGAGTTTCACGAATCCAACCCGTTCGCTAAATTATGCGTGTTATTTGAGTGTTACTACTACTATCTTTAGTCTTTAACTGTCTGACAGTTTATTTCTTCTTCATCTGCTATTGTTCTCTCTCTCTCTTTCTCTGTCTGTCTGTCTGTCTGTCTGTCTGTCTGTCTGTCTGTCTGTCTGTCTGTCTCTCTCTCTCTCTCTCTCTCTCTCTCTCTCTCTCTCTCTCTCTCTCTCCCTCACTCTCTCTCTCTTCTATCCCATGTCAATGTTACAATAATATTATGGGGCAGAACAGTATATTATGGCATTCCCCAATACTACTACATAATTATTTTCATCTCTTTCGCAATAATTCAGACGGAACCTGCTACTTTAGTAAACCATACTCTGCTCTTTAAAAAAAATAAAACACGATGGTGGAATTTTCGTTGTGAATTAAATGTTCTCTTCACTTCATTGCCCTGGAGTCCAACTGTGTTTAAAATGAGATTGCTGTACTGTGTACTAGAACATCCCTATCGGAGTACCTCAGACAGCACACATGGCACTAGGCAACTCGAGTTGCAAATTTAAAACATTCAGAAAAGACGATGTGGCAACATTGGGAAAAAAAATCGTTAGAATAAGCCGGTGCACAGTATGTATTATGAACATATTTTGTGTGCCTTGCAACACGACACGTTTCCAATACCACAATCAGTAAAAGTAATACTTTTCTTTTCATCCTTCTTTTGTTTCTGTACATTTGTCCCTCAAATAACAGGGGTAGTACAAAGAGGTTATAATACTCGTAGTTCTATTTATTCATCTTTGGGGTAGCAGCAACAAGAGTCACCAGAATAATAACAATAATAGAAGCAGCAGGAGCAGCAGTAGCAGCATATCAGTAGCAGCAGCAAAAGCAGAAGCAACACTATCAAGACTAGTACTGGCAGCAGCAGACCAACAGGCGTGTGGTCAAGAGATAGACAAACCTGAGAATTACAAATTTTGGCATTTGCGCTTCTTCTACACGTACCATAAATCGAAATTTTCCTCTGCCCAAAGACTGCCCGTAAGTGCTATCTGTAATGACGTCATCGCGATGTTTGAATCCGCTTTCCTGATTGGAAGGGATGTAAGCATAGAGCTCACCATCTCCGTCCTTACGCCACATCATTCTGAAAGATAAAGTGAGCTCAAATATTCATATCTAGAATGAGTTTTTTTATGCTTACAACGATAAGCCGAAACCCAACCTTCTCCAAGATACACACACAACATGACACAACACACAAACACACACACACACACACACACACACACACACACACACACACACACACACACACACACACACACACACACACAAACACATAAACAGACACATACACACAAACTCAGACACAAACAAAACAAAACAAACACAAGCAAAACAAAACGTTAAAAAATAGCCCTGCCTTGATGCTTATCTTTGTATATCAATGGTGTTCTGCTAAAAAGTGCGCCAATTCCAGAAACCAAAATCTAAATTTGAGTTCCTTTGGATTCCCAAAGGATTTTGAAAGGTGAGATTGTCTACTTAATTAAGTAAGAATATATTTGACAAATAGAAAAAAAATAGGAACAAAATTATAATGACAATGGGATTGTGGTCCTACCAGACTCATACTTCATGCATAAACTCAACACATTTCGACTTTGTGATATCAGTCTTCAGGCTATAAATTGCTTTTATTCCGGTCTATATGCCCAAATTGAGCTTGCATTCAACTGGTGAAAGATAATAATGTTGCCTGCGAAAAGTTGTCTAAATACAAGGTGCCATCGGTCGAGTTGGTACTTTCTTTGTTCGATTATACCATTTGTTTAGCCTCATTTTTGTTGTTGTGGTTGTTGATTGTGGTGTTTTTTGTTTGTTGGTTTTTTGATGTTTTTTGTGGGTTAGGGGGGGGGGGGGGGGGGGGGGATCCCATGAATCTCTTTATGAGGTAGATCTATCATTACTACTTCATGTTCTTTTCGATGATCTGAAAATATGAGTATTTAACAACAAACTCTTCATACGTTTTGGAGATTGTTTTTTGTTTGACATTTATTTAATGGGTAACTCTGTAATGAAAGATGGAGGGCAAAAGCAGGGAGCCATGCGAATTCCCCCAAACGACTCTTGGTAATAAATCATTTGTAAGATTAAGAACCTTCTATGAAAGGCACCGGTTTTCCTAACATAAATTTGTACTTTTACCAAAACAAGGCAGACATCAGACAGACAGACATATATATATATATATATATATATATATATATATATATATATATATATATATATACATACATATATATATATATATATATATATATATATAGAGAGAGAGAGAGAGAGAGAAGGGTGGGGGAAGAAAGAAAGAGAGAAAGAAAAAGAGAGAGAGAGAAAGATAGATAGATAGACAGATAAAGAAAGGGGGAGCCAGACAGAGAGAGAGAGAGAGACAAAGAGACAGAAAGAGAGAGAGAGAGAGAGAGAGAGAGACAGAGAGAGAGAGAGAGAGAGAGAGAGAGAGAGAGAGAGAAAGAGAGATAATGAGATTGAGAAAGAGGGGGGGGGGGAGACTCAGGAGAACGAGTAGTTTTGCTGAAACTTAAACCGATCATGCATTTAATTACAGTGATATTATTTCAGATCTATAGAGACGAAGTAACGTATTTGCGTCTATTAGTTTATTAGAATGTATGATAACTTAGTTAAGAAAAACAGAAAAAAATCTCTTTCGGTGGAGGAAGGCAGGGGAGTAGCCTAAAATATGCGATAGAATTCACAGATCCCCTTCTATGTTGAAGGCCTGGTAACCTAGTGAACTAATTAAAGACGGGACTACATTTTCTCATGAAATGACAGTATGACAGCATCCCTGAGCATCGCCGTGGCAGCGATTACCGCGCATAAAGGTTTTCGCGCCCTGCGCCGGGCAATATGCGAAGCATTGCACTTTTAAATTGTAGTTGTTATGGAACGCCGCCACGAGTGACATCTCTCTGTTACTGTAAACCCTCTCTGGTACAATGTAATTATTTTTTTTGTGTCTCCTGATTGCAAACTATCTACAGCCTGATGCACTGAGGGGAAACGCCACAGAGTATTGAAACCCGTTTTGTACAATTTCCCGTCTGGTCAAGCCAGGAATCAACCGCAAATCCAACACTTACCGGAGAATGTGAACGTGTCTTAGACTGCTGAGGTGTGGTACACATTTCAAAAGTTGACTAGATCTACTTTAGGGGAAAATGGCATTAGTCACAGGGAACAAAAACACAGAAGACTATTTCCTGTTTTAAATTTTATCATGTCACTAGTGCCAGACTGCGGCCGTTAAAGATGAATAAATAGTATTAATATCCAAAAACGAAATCCAGAGAGAGAGAGAGAGAGAGAGAGAGAGAGAGAGAGAGAGAGAGAGAGAGAGAGAGAGAGAGAGAGAGAGAGAGAGAGAGAGAGGGGGGGGGGGAGAAAGAGAAAGAGAAATAAAAGGGAAGAGGAGGAAAAACACAACAGAATTGTGACTTTAATTATGCCATTTTCTCCCTGTGTCCTCGGATACAACGTAAAACTACCTGAGAGAGAAGCAACTGGAGGGGTTTGAACCGCCCGAGCACAAGTAAGCACCATCACCATTCTCTCCGCCGAAAAGACCAGGCAGCTTCCCGCCGATACCGAAGCCAAAGTTCTCGAAGTAGACGTCATACTTGAGGATCATAGCATCTACGTTGGACGAGATGGCGCTGGGCCTGCTGTAGAAACCCGCACCTGGACATAGGATAAAGGGTGTGGGGAGGGGAGTGGGGGAGAGTGTATTTAGCGCCCTACTAGACACACATTAGATATATCGAAAGAGAAGCGCTGAGACTAAAAAAAAAATAGAGAGAAAATGCACATGAAGGGGGACTGTGCACCAGTATAATGATATAATATGCAGACACATTAGGCATTCTACATCCTCATTAAGACGATTTAGGAGGTTGGATGCTTCCAAGCCAGTTGGAGTGGATACTAGCAACAAGGCAGCGATTCTGGGATGTTAGAAAAATAATTATTATATCCACAAACAGGAATCAAACTCGTGTGTGCTGCAAACAAAAGCGAAGAGTCTATTCATTCCACAGGAGGCGTCGGTGTACCTTGGCGGAACACTCTCAAACCCTTAAGAATAAGTGGATAAATATAAAAAAATGAAACGGTAGGCTGCCTATCTGTCTGTCTGTCTGTCTGTCTGTCTGTCTGTCTGTCTGTCTGTCTGTCTGTCTGTCTGTCTGTCTCTCTGTCTGTCTGTCTCTCTCTCCATCTCTCTCTTCTGCTTTCTGCCCCCCCCCCTCTCTCTCTCTCTTCTTCTTTCTGTCCCTCAAAAATGAAACGGTAGGCTATGCGCGAGAAGCACAGCTATGGGCCTGTTTCTTTGCCAAGTACAGAAACGATGAATGTTAATCTGCTTACGACAACGTAGAGCAGTGAGTACTTGCCTACCTGATAATTTTTGTATGCAGCGGCGATGCTTAAGGCAAGACTTTGAGTAGGGCCTACCATAAAATATATTTCCTTGTTAAAAATTGGAGAGCAGCATTGTTCGTAAAAACACGACGGTTCATTAAGTTTCTGTAGTACGTAAACAAATTGTGGTATCGTGGTGAAATCAGGTGCTTGTCAAAATAATGAAATCCAAGAAACCGACAATTTTCTGCCCGTTGGGCAATTTTGATCAGAACACATTTGTGTGTGCATATTACTGAAAAACGTAGCTGAAAAGCACAAATAAATCTATATTTGCAGTTACCAAAGATATTCAAACTTTATAAGTCGTAAGACTTTAGCAGCTATTTTTGGGGGTGCTAATTTCACTCCTAACACCAGGCGAACCTCACTTTTTTCAAACACACTCATCTCTATTTAGGACAGATGGATATTTCTTCGGCAAAAGCAAGCTAAAGGAGTAGGCTTTAAAACGATTTCATGCTGATAACCTCAAGTGCCGAAAATAATTGACGACCGCACAATTCCACAGGTTCGTG